TTTGTGACCAAAATATAAACTTTTCGTCAGCACAGCGCAATGGAAGATAGCGTAATCGCTCGGCAAAAATGCAGGACGTAGCAATGTACGCAGTTTTCCAACTAGCCACAAGTATCGTGAAATCATCTCTTTTAATGTGCTATTGAGACTGTTGCGTCTGCCTCAATACTCACCATGCCTACTTCACAGGCGTTGAGCTCAAATGCAAGATAATCGCCAGGTCACCATTTATGCGTGTGACAGGCCTGCGTTGACTAATCTCTATGAAGTGTAGTTTGCAGCCAATCCTCGTACGCACTCATACTGCTGCCGCTGCTGGGTTTTGTGGGTATGCCTAATGTGAGTGACTGTTGTGCAGCATCACTTCTCCCATCTTTGTGCTTTCTGCCACCATTTAAATAGCTCAACCGAAGGGACGTGGCTTAAGCATTCCAGACCACTGCACACTAGTGCAGAAGCATTTTCTTTCACTACCATGCTACCGACTGTGCGTCTTCGGCTCCACTGTGTTCCATTTTACAACCTTATGTTTTGTATCACTGCAGCCTCTGAAGTTCTCCTAGAAGAACAAGAGGGACCAGACTGATGAGATATGATGAGAGCCTAGGTTGAGGGATCGGATTACTCCAGATGACTGATATTCAGCATAATTGCTGATGTGAAGTAGCAAAAAGTGGAATTATAGGGATGAGAGCGTTGTAGAGCAGTCAGAAATGAGGTGTTCATTAAGGTACAAGGATGTTTCAGCTTCTTTCCTTCCGAGGTTTTGACTCCAAGTTGAGGCAAATCTTACATAATCTGCAAAATTTTTAAGGAATATGGTAGACGAAGCGAGCTTGGTTAATAAACTTGTGACTGAATGAAGCTCTATCTGCCTGAGTGAAAAGTGTAGAGAAAGGGGAGTAACTGACAGACTGGTGGTTCAGTCTGTGGTTCGGAGTTACTAAGAAAGCAGATTAGCTGCGGTGAGTAAAGGCGGTGTTGGTGGAGGGAGTGCTTTCGGCGAGGAGCGGAGTGAATGCGGTGGAAAGTCACATCGTGTGGCGGCCTTTTAAGCAATTGATGCGGACACGCTTTTTAACTTACTCCACCTTTGCCTCTTTGTTACGAAATGGCGCTAGTGTTTTCGAGATTAGATCCTGTCGAGTTGCTGTCCAATGTGGCCCAGAAACAAGGACTTCGATAAACGCAATTCAATTTGCCAATGGAATGAGTGAGCTAGGAGTATGGAACTGTGGGCATACTGAGGTAGGGGATTGCGGGAGATGGATAGGAATACGTCGAGTGTGTGACTGCTGGCTGATGAATGAAGGCGAGAGAAATTTCCATTTAGCCTGTTCCCTTCGTATGGCATTTACATTATTCTTGATCGTCTATTTTTTGAATGATCAATTTTGAGTTCGCATATTTGTTACTTTGGTCAATTAAAGTAGTAGATCGGGTGTGAGGAATGAGACACCACCAAATCCTAGGCAATTAGACAAGAAAGGAAAAATTGTAGCGAAACAGAGTACAAGTCTTTCTTACCTTACTGGAATTTCCATTACTCTACACTAGTTTGAAATTACTAGTGAGTGGATGACTTGCAGCCCCTGCTTTTTGGAATAAGGAAAATGGTGTGAATATGGAGGGTTCGGGGTTTGATTGTGGTCTACTTAGCAAAAAGCATTCTTCCAGGATCAAATAACTAGCTGGCGGTGTCAGGTGGAACCTGTATGACAAATGCACGTAGACAAACAGCTTTGCTGTGATTAGAAGAAGTACTCTAGGAAAATGTGCCTTCATTAGTTTTCTATTCTAGTGAACGGGCGGTAATGACGAACAGATGTGCACAAATGACACTTGTTCTCGTGGTTATTGCAAGTACCAATTATAGTGAATCAAAACACCAGCTCATATGGTAGACAAAAAAGTGGATCCGGTCCTTGAGGTCTGATTCGTAAATCATTCGTAACAGGTGAGCACTACTATCCTGTAATTTTCTCGTGTAATTACACGATATGGCCATTTGCTCATAAGAGGTACACATTTTCCCTCACATTAAGTCAGGTAGTCTTCGTGTGCCAGATTCTAGTGTTCCTTACTAATTATTGTCACGGCTGATGTGACTGACGGATTTGATAACCCCGTAGGAAAAGTGTGCAGTGGCTTCCTAAAATCTAATACACTGCCCTACAATGCTTGAGAATTCCTGTCACCTCATTTTTGGTATGCGTTTGTGTGTCGCAATGCCTCTTAACTCGTCTCCACGGTCTCCATCCACGTCGTGGTAGCGAGTACTAAAGGAATTGATTTACATTCTTCTAGGCTTTAGCTCCTTGATGAAAACCATCACAGCGTTTAAGTTTTGTGTCGATGTGACATCCGACTGCCGCTTAACGGAACACGAGGTATATGATGAGCTGGGCAGTAGTGAAAACCGTGATTGGGTGTAACATAGACAACCCATTTAATGTAATTGTCTTGTGGATTAGGTAATATTTTGCTTAAAAATAAGAGCCCGACGGTGCAGTCAGCAATTTGTATTTAAGTACAAGACCTTAAAATTTCTGTAATAGTTTTCCTGAATTTGCCACTTTGCTAATTTGTCGGAGCGTACTACTAATATTTTACAAGTAGCAGAACGACATTGCATGGCATTAAATATCCAAGTTAAATATACTGCTTTTGAAGCAGTGCTATATTTACTTTGCTTATTTTCATTCATTGTCTAGATTTAGCACAAAATCTCAGCTAGTGGGAGGATTATGCGTGTATCGAGGTTTCGTCAACCCTGCACCTGGATTTTGGACCAGCATGATTCCTTTCGATGCTAGAAAAATTTTGGCAGTTGTTGGTCAATCTTATCTGCCTAAACAACTTAATCATTTACAACCTTGATGCAGTTTCCCATCTCGCAGTTCTAACGTTTTCTTGTTATTCTTTATCAAAATGTTGATCGCAGCATAAAGAGCGTAACAAAGAATTTCTTGAAACTCGAATCGACGCTCCCAATCACGTAACATTACCTTCTAACAACACTGAAAACGGTATAGAAAGCACTGAAATTCCACAGGTACTAGCCAATACTGAGGTCATTGTTAGTAACTGTGAAGTAGCCTGAAAAAGGTGTCTAATGTAAATCACTGCCGCATTTGCCAAGCAAGAGCTACAGTTGAAACCGGATACACACATTATTGAAACGCATATCACCTGGTTGAATAGCGTCAGCATGATCACTCAGTTGAGGTTAGATTCATTTCGTCCATTAGTTTATTTGAGGTGCAGGCGATGTGCATGCAGAAATAGTCGACCTACTATTTCTCTAACGTTAAGAATGGGTGGCCTTCGGCGATGGCACATCTATATCATCGTTATGTGTAGTCTTCGGAGATAAAATTAATTGCATTTGAATGAGACCAAGCAGCAGTAGTGAAAATCAGGACAGATGCGGTTCACCATCGGACTCGGTTTCCGATCGCACCAACTCAGCGCCCTGAGTCTTCCCTAAATACAAAAATTGGCATTTTACTCTTGCCAAAGACATATTTTATATACAAAAGAATTAGGGCTACTGACACCGTCCGGAGGTAGGCCGAATGGCGAGGTAAAGTGGGCAATGCAGGCCGTTAAGCAAACAACCAGCGTATTAAGCTCTACACTCCTGCTTTATCTATGTATAGACTTGCGTAAACGTGTGTGTCTATACTGCAATTTCGAAATATATTTTCTTACCTAAACGGCCTCTATTCTCTTACAATTGAATGTATGGGCTCAATTTCGAAAACATCCTCCTGCATCTTTGCTGTCACTTGTTGTGTGTTCTTCGTTTTCAGATACATATATATTTATCTGCACATTTGGAGGCATAATTTTACTTTAATTTGAAATATACTTTTATTCACATGCCCCGCAAATATGTGAGCCACCCTCAGTAGCACATATGTATATATTTACCACGCTTGCAAACTCAGGTATTTGGTCAGTCTTCCAAATACTTTTTTCCACTTTTATGTCTATACCTGGAGCGTTGATTTATACTTTAGCTCTTATCCATGTAAATTCATCCACACCTAATTACGCATCAAGTTAATTTTGTTTTTCTTGCATTTATTTACACTTGTATAGGTGTTAAGAAAATTTTTGTAAATATAATGCACCTACACCTGCAAATATCCTTATTTGTTCTGATTCTGAAATTCAAAACCGTTCCAACTTGCATATATATATACATAGCATAACTTTCATTTGTAAAATAAAATCCCTCATGTAAACTGAGGTGTTTACGCCATCTTGCTATTGCCAAAGCCCATTTGTTAGTTCTCATATTCTGCGTCTCTTCGTTTCGTATCTCTTCCTCCCCCTTCAACCCCACTTACCCCATTCAATGTCCTTACGTTCCAAATTGACTTTGCCTTCAGGAAAACCCACCCACAATTCACAACCTCGCTTGTCCCCAACACTTCATCGTCCACATTCTCATCCTGCTTTGAACTTACGTTATTGTGCTAGAGAACACTCCGACCATTACAAAATTTCACAACTTCATTCGGAAAGCGTCAACATTGCTAGGATTAATAGCCATGGATGCAAGTAGATTGGATGATAGCAATTAACACAATTTACCCAATAATATCTTCTATTAGCAGACGCTACGACGCACTTTTTTAACTCTCCCTCCTACTTTGCCACGTCCCCCTTGGTATTTTTAGTAATCAAGTGGATTCCATCATCGTCTGCGCCACTGTTTAACTCCCTTTTATGAATTTCCTTACTGAGATTCATTTACTCTTTCATACCTTTATTCATGCAGCATAGAAATCCCTTGATCCTGAACCCTACGCAAGGCATGATACACTTGTATCTCCACACATGCATCATCAGCTCCGCGTCACAGTCTTCTGGCATCATCGCCACCTCGAACTTGATTGTCCATAGTCCCCAAAATTGAACGCGCCTGCCCTTCTAATTGTTGCGACTACACCCTCCTCTGCTTCCCACTCCACGCACATTGAAAGGTCATGCATCCAGAATCGGACTTACCTACCGTGGCTGTTGACGTGTCAATCGCCTCGCAAAAGTTAATGCGCACTCGCAAGATGGAGAACGAGGGCCCACGATATACGGTGCGTATGGATAAAATGGAAGGATTTAATTAATGGGCGATTTCATTTAGCTATTTGTCTTTTGTTAAAAGGGTAAGCAAGAAGCTAATGGGTCCATGCGTACACCAATGGGAATGCAGACTTACCCGGTACTGTAGATCGGAATAGAACATATCCAACGTCTGTCCGGAAATCATATTTGGCAAATTAGTGAAACAAAGTGGTGCGGTACTTTGGACAGCGTAACTCATTGCAAAAAATACAATCCTTTAAGGACAAGAGAGCTTCTGACGCAGCGATAGAGCAGTGGCTCAAAGCCATCACTTCGCAAATCAATTGAGTTCCCATTTCTTGCTTGACTTCAAGGTACCCGTCAGACTTGCCCTTTCTGATATGCTACCTGGTTCAAAGGTGATTGGCTGCCACCGATCGTAAATATGCCAGTATACTTGTACTAACATTAGCAAAGCCTCTTACTGAGAATAAAGTGTAAAATTAGCAAATCTTTCAATGCCAATAAAGATAAGAATGAATTAGCCTGACCTATCCCGTGAAAATAAGCACCATTTACCATCACAGGGGCAGAAGCGGGGTGAGTTGAAGTGTGTAAACCCATGAATTCAGAGTTTGTCCACTGGGATCACATCCACGCTGACACTTTGGAAGGCGTCTTTCGCCAAGTCTACAAGGCTCCCTGCTACAATTGCTCCCGCCACCGCCACTCACCGCAGCCATCAGTACAGGCCGCTACAACTGGATGAGTATTGCCTCTGTATAAGAATAAAAGGAGAAAGAAGACAAAAACGAGACAATCATCAGTTCACATAGCACAATATCAAAAAATGGCAATATTCACCCTACTTTTCTCCTGAGATCAGATCGACATTGGTGAGAAAGACCACTAGAGTAGCAGGGATGAGCCCCCTGACAACGGTCTGGGTCTGAAAGCCCTTGTTGACTTTCACTACAAGAAGGCTTAATTTGATTACATCATTGCCTATAACGGCAGTAACTGGCTAGCACAACCTGTGCAAGCAATTCCAGGAATAACAGATACTCGTTATAAACACTGGTTTAAATGAGGGGGGGTAGGCCCAGGATAATAAAAAAGAGTAATATTGGTAGCGTCCAAGAATGTGAGAAAAGAAATATTTTTTCTGCTATGCCATGAAATACGAGAAGCGCAGTCCAAAAGTGATTCCGAAATTCGGGCTTCGCGGATATATGTCTTATGGGGCGGTACTGGCCACACAAATCAGCGCCTTTGATCTGAGACGAAAAACGTAAAAGTAGGTTGGTAAGGAGTAAAAAAGGGTGAGAGACATAAAACGATTAATAAAATCAACAAAAATCCCCTCGTAAGTATAATCTGTACATTTTTTAGTCTTGCGGGCTGGTCTCCAACACAACATGGCAAATTTTGTCCAAGCTACTGTTTCGTCATTATTGCAGTGGTGAGGTTATATGGAGATGTTGTGATCCCTCCGTTACGCCTGTAAGTGGGCGACGCAAACTATAGAATGGCAAGAAAAGGAGATGAGTTTAAAAAAAATGTTCAAAGAAGGACGAAAATAACAGAATGCAGAAAAACGAAAAACTTAGAGACGACCGCGGTAAATGACAAATACTTAAGTGTAGAAGTAACGGAGAGGGGTGTTTATCTGGAGCGCAAACGTCCAAGCCACCTTCTTTCACAATAAAAGACAGTCGTTACGATTTATTTCATTATCATGCATTGGCTGTCTCGATTCAGAAAGGGCGCTAACACAAATGTGATGCTTTATGGTGTTCAGGAAAGCAGATGAACCCGGTGGCCGGAAGGTGCCTGACAGTATGTCTATTGGTTGAGCACTGTGTTGAACGCCGGATTACTTAGTGTATCAGGCGATCCGATTTGGATGTCTCAACCCAGCAAATTCGCCCATTACCTCACCGAAGGCTACCACGACAGACGCATGATTTCACGAAATTATGCCGCTATTAAACAATTGTCGGATGTTCAATTCATGGTGTACAATCACAGTCTGCACGGAACATGCGTCAACTACAATCGAGCTTGTGGTGGACTCATTCTGAAATGTCACTAGATTAATACCTGGATGGACGGTCGAGGTGTTCCATTACAATCTGAAGTGCCTGGTAAGTCTGCAATTCCTTTTTAAATCTTTTGCACAGAATAATAAATTGGATGCAGTCATACCACAAGTAGATTAATGGATTGCTGGACCTACACACAAAGGACTAGGCAGATTTTTTGATCTGCATCTCTTAGGTGCGCATTGCTCTCTGTGAAGCGTAGCTGCAAAATTGGAGGGGTAGATATAGCCGTTTCAGAGACTGTGGACTGTCAAATTCAAACTGAAGTTAATGCATTCTTGAGCAGTATAAGAAAGTCAGTAGAAACTGACGATATGTAGTTACATCGTGCATAGAGGTGCATGTATATCAATTCTCGTGGAGGGAACTAGACCATAACAACTCCATGATACGTAAATAATGGTATGAATGGTGGCATGTAGTCGGAGCTACATGGCACTCCCACCGTCTCTAAGCGACTCACAATGTGAGTTGGTTAAAGGGCACACGTGCATCTACTGCAACGTGCTTTTCAACGCATCAACTCGTCTCCCTGCTAAAAGTGCTCCCTCCACCACCACACTCACCTCAACCATTCACCCCCACATTAGCATCACCAGCACCTCTGAACTACGGGCCAGGCATCATAGGCCACAGGCTGGACCTCTTCACTTTGCGCTCTAGTGAATAAAGTTATAGTCATTCACAAATCTGTCAGCGTAAACATCCTCCATCTGCCTTATTCCTTTAATAATACACACCCTCTGCTAATGGTGGTCTCAGATTGGCGTTAAAGGGCTCCATGAAGAGATATACAAACACTCTTTTATATCAGTGTCTATTTTCATTTGCTGGTACTTTATGTTAGTCATCATGATAAATATTTTTGAAGCAATACCTTCCACCAACGCTGTTTGTCATGCCATCCCATCAATCCCGTCCCCTGTGTTCTGTTTGAAGAAAATCAGAGGCTGCAGAGACACACAAGATGAACATTGTAATAGTGAACACCACGGAGTTAAAGCTGGAAAGATAGAAGTGTAGGAGGATACGTTGTTACCAAAATAGGGTAGGGCTGAAACTGACAAGCCAATCCTTTCGATCAACTTATCAAAGTAGTTGTGAAAACCAAGGAGACAGGAGAACTGATTTTGCGTCCTAGGCATGCACACGACCTCGCCCACGGACAGAGGAGCATGCGGGCACATGTATACATGCCACAATACGCGGACGTGGGCATCTGCTCCAGTTAACGCATAAAACCATACAATTGAAGATAAGGGCATAAAATATACAAACGCATATGTGTATGTGTAAGTATAAAGTCGAATTCCGGACCGTTGGTATGCACCTACATGGGCAATTGAAGAAACAGATGTATAAGCAAATAAAAACACAATCCTTCGTATGGCCTCAATATTACTAACATAACAGCCATCTGCAGAGGGAAAAATGTGTATTCGCAATCTAACAAATCTATTTATAAAAAGCTATACAGAAAATTGTAAACATACTCAATCCAACAAAAATATTTACAAAAATTAAAAGGCACACGAGGTTATATATACATATGTACCCACACAGGCAAGAATGTAAGGAAACACTAAATCTCAATTAAATCTATGAATGTATAATGCCACAAGAAAGTATAGGCTCTAATATGGAGGTAAGTTTGCATTTACACTGGAAAACATATGTTCTGAAACTGCCAGTCAAATGTGAATATCCAGTTATGCGTAAAAAATAATGCATTCACAATAGTTGCAATATGTGTAGGTAGGTTACTCCCAATGGGTGATTTGTTTGTTGAAACCAGACAGATGAGAAGACAGACGGTGATCGCCTTTCTCTTAATCAACTGGTTGTATTGTCTACTGTCACTGGGTTAGAATTCGCTGTCATGAGCCTCAGATAGATACTGAAGTCCGCTGACTACCGTGATAATCTTTCCTAATGGAGCACGGACTTGCTCTGTCTTCAAAGCACCGACTACGGTATCTTTATGTTGGATGGGCACTGCAAACCAACGAAACCGATTGAAGAGTATATGCTGCAGAGCGTCAACTAGGTGCCCTCACCAACCCATACTGATCGAGTGGAAGACTGGACAGCAGGAGATCAGAAATGGTCGTTGCAACTCTCCAGATCCTCCTCAATTCCTCATTGAAAGCAACTTCCACGGACCTCTGATTTCACGCAGTCAAGTCAGCATTGAAAGACTACTGGGAGACGAGGTCATGCAGTGTGATCACGACCTGAATGGAACATGCGTCAACCATATTCGAGACTTTGGTGAGGTTATTATGGAACAGGAAGACACAATTTGCTTTGACCATATTAAAGGTACTAAAGTAATACATGGACAGACCTTCGATGCAGTCTGTTCCTATTACTAAAATAAATAATGGAGTCTTGCCACCGTGCATCAATGCAGAGCTGTCAGCTAACAATTGCAGCACAAAATGTTTTACTCAATAACATATAAGTAGAATATATGCGACTACCACCTGCAACCTAGACAGAGGTCTCTGTCATATTTAGATAATTGTGCTATAGCATTGCCTTCTTTTCATTTTCGTTCCTTTTTTTTCTTTAACTAAACAATTAGCGATGGCATTAGATAAGGGTGGCCCCTAATTTGGATGGGTGACCATTGTCTAGACAAACAGAGAATCAGCATGTATTCCCATAGTATGCAGCAGACATTAAACTGAAGCATTATCCATAGACCTCACGCTGGATGTTTTGCGATTGAATGATCTTTTGGCACTATTTTAGACGCAAAATGTTGCCTCTAAGAGAGTGCCACTTCATTCGGTAAGTCAAAAGGCGAAATGCATATTACTGAGTAAATTGCTGAAGAAAGCTCCAAAACTTAAGGAATCATCATCTTCTTATGTCATTTAACAGGATGCTCTTTCAGGTGTAGGAAATGTGCTGTTTTTGTCTATTCCGTGCGCACCACTTCCTCGTCCTTGTTAATCACAAAGCGTGGACTTGACTGCATTCTAGACAACTGCGACGCCTTATTCAGAGCACTTGAGTTGAAAGTAAAGTAGGTCATTTTAACCTTACATTTTGACTAACTCTTTTTACCTTAGGCTAACAAGAACATCCAGCCAAAACACTTTTGAGGGATGGAACCTTGGGACAAGCAAAAAAACCTGTATTATGCTCAACACATCCCAGCTCGGAAACGAGACCAAGAGAAGACGACACAGCACGTCAACATGCCGTCTCAGTGTTACACTTCCACTGATGGTAGGGCCAGGATTATGGAAGCACTGCAGCACCGCATTGCCACAATACAGATCACAGGAGTGTACACTTGGTTCTCAAGTGTAATTCCGGTGGAGGAATGGGACGACTCGCGTGAATGTCAAAAATAAAGCATTGATTCATTTGGCATCCACTAGAAATGCTTGATCGTGTAGTCTACAGGTATCCACGTCACATAGTACTCCGAAACGTCCACAATTTATCGACACCAAAGGGTTTCCTTTCCAGACCTGTAATATTTTTAATGCTATGGCCTTCTCCCTTTGCTTTCTCCATTTTCCGACGGGATAGTTACTGTAAAGGCATTCTGCATTGCATGGTGTTATAATTTTACGAGAGAATACAGGTCTGTGTGACTCTCATAAAACAAAGCTAGTGCCTTCTTGGTGGCTTGCAACCGATGATATCTGCTCGGCCACAAGCTCTGTCCGATCTGAACACCTACTACTAAATGGGTACATTCAAACAAACAGGTACTTCAAGAGCATATGTACCTAAGTCATCCCACATCATCCAACACAACCCATCCACACAATGAAGTGCGCCTTGGAAACCAAGTATCCACTCGCTTGGACTCTTTTGGACGCACGCGCGTATATCTCTGTTGACCACAGCGGAATACGCAAGATTTGCGTCACCATGCTCCATGGACGAAATGAGACACACTTGATTTTCAAGCAAAACAATGGGAAATCTGACTCACCCTGTCACGATTTCATGTGGGTGCACAAGAGCAGTATCGCATGTCTGGGAAAACTTTTTTTTTATAATGCAGACTCCACCGATATTTACGTAAAACCACTGGTGCATCAACCTCCACACTGCCCTTGAATTGTGTGTGTGCTTCAACGGAATTCGCTTTTGAATTGAATCTCATATCGGTGATGACGGGTGTTCACATTCACCTCATAAATGTGTCACCACTCGAATTTAGATGGCAACCTATGGAGTTGTTCGAATGTCGGGCAGACATTTGCATCTCCACAGATTGCCTACCACTGTATTGAGGCAACTTTTATCAACGGTGTGAAATTTGGGGCATTAAAAACAGTAGGTGTGCATACAACTAAGGCTAGTTCCTTCCAAGCACTCCTAAATTTGTCACTCTATGGAATAATTATGTGACAAGCAAATAAAAGCGCCTATCAACTACTGCCACTCCTTTTGTGCTTCACAAGAAGCCATTTTGTAACTGGTACAGGAAACTACAAATTCGGAGAGGAAGGGCAACCATAACTTGGAAATAATAAGTGAATGTGCCAGTAACAACTATGCTGCTAAACATTATTTCGAGATTAAAGCTGGCACAACTGCCCATAACTTTTTAGATAATGTCCCTACCTCAACAAGATTCGTTAGCGTTAATAGCAGCGTTGAATTTGCCGAGGTGGCAGATGTTTACATTCGATTTAAAATGAAATGAACAATCTGTGCGGAAGGCCTTGATGGAATGTGCAGCTTTAGGTAAAAGTAATCGGGAATGGAATTTTTTTGCATGGTGTTCATCTACCCGTCCACAAAACCACCTACACTCCTACCTACTCACTCCCACATCTGCATCGTAGTCTGCTCTGAAGACTTTCAAAGGCGTTGACCGTCGGTGGTTGCAAACATTGACAATGAGCAACCACTGCCCCAATCTCTTCCACATTTCACCGGATGGGGGAGGTGTGGCCAAGAACTAATAGACATGGGCTGTAAAATTATTAGTATAACCGCCATCCCTTAAAAAACAACGCAATAATAACATTAAAAAGAGTAGATTTACTGAATCACAGTAATGCCGACCATCACTTCCACAGTCAGCACTTTGTTAGGACAACGCGAGTTGCGGTAGAGGATGACTTTACCAAATAGATATACTCAATCGGTGTGTAGACGTCTAAGACAAGGAGGGAAAGGGCATCGGATCACCCAAGTAGCAAGATGTAAGTGGATAAAGAAGCAGGACTCAGAATAAAGCTTGAGAGGAAGATGTCGATAGTGCCCAAAGAGACAACATTCCCACTTCTAGCGTGAAAGACTCGAACTCAGAATTCGTGTCCAGTAATACCCGAGGTGGAGGGGCACACAATCTTGAAAGCCGCCACTGATGTGGAATGGCAGTATGCGGATCCAGACTCTTCACCTGACATTGCGAGCCTTAATTACAGATGCGTTTTAAGTACATCCACCTCCCATGTCTTTGAAGTCAGTTCTCATGGCAACTGGTGAAGCAAGATGCTGAGAAACTCCTAAGATGCCGTAAAGCACTGACGAGAATGTAATACTAATCGACACTTCCTTTATAGGAATTACAACACCTTCTTCACCTGAATCCAAGTGTTGATGTTCAGGTGTTGATGCATAAATATATCCGCAATAGTGTAATAAGTTGGTTGTTTGTTTAACAGCCGGTTTTGGCAGGACCACTTTGTATTGGCCATTGTACTTCACCGGCTGGGCTGGTCTCCGGGCCAGCCAGCTAGCCCTCATGCCTTATGTAGGTCGAAGATATGTATTCTGCTTGATTACTCTGTCTGATTTCGTCTTAAGACAAGTCTCATAGTGCTGCCAAGTGACATTCACGCAGAAGTCCGGCTCAGTTAGCCTTAGGTAAATGAGTAAGATTTGGTGAATTATACAATGGAGTAGATAGATGTTACTTGAACTCGACCGATGCAGACCAATCACATGCATGAAAGGTGATCCGGCGGCTAACATTCACTCATTAGTGACCATATTTGGACATTTCCATCTGTTTATAAGGCAACGGTTCGGCAAGCGGATTTAATTTTCAAGTTGATTCCCGATTGCAGGCTATTACGCCTCATTCTTGTTTGAATCGGGTCGTCTGAATCCGCCACCACTACACTAGCCACAGTTGTGATATTTCACGCTCAAACGTTGATCTGCTCCACATCCAGAACAATGACTACATTATCGTTATGCTGGATTGGCGACGCACCAGTGAATGTATGCTGCAGAGCGTCAACTAGGTGCTCCAATCATCCGAGATTGATTGAGTTAAAAGTAGGACAACAAGAGATCACAATTGGTCGTCGTAACGCCTCAAATCGGCCTCACTACCATATTGAAAGCAACTTCAACAGGCTTATGATTTCACGCAATCATGCCACCGTTAAACGATTGTCAGATGGCCGATTCATGTTGTACGATCACAGCCTGAACGGAACTTTCGTCAACTACACTCGAGTTCATGCTTGTGTTATTCTGAAACATGGAGACATTATTTGCTTCGGGCACCTTAGTGGTGCTACTATACCGCCCGGACAGACAGTCGATGAATTCCAATCTGACCTAAAGTACCGAGTAAGTCAATATTCCTACTGGGGTGCTCATTAACTCATTAGCTTCCTTCTTACCTCCTTAAGATGAGGCAACTAACTGAAATTGTTTTGCCTACACTCACCGTATATTGTAGGTCCTTGTTCCACTTCTTGTAGGTGCGAATTACTTTATGCAAGGCAATGGACATTTCCACAACCACAGTAGGTAAGTTCGATCCTGAACGAATGACCTCCAATATGTGTGGAGAGGGAAGCAGAGGAAAGCGTAGTCACGAATGCAGAAGAGCAGGTGCGGTCGATTCGGGGACTGTGGACAGCCAAATTCAAGGTGGCAGGGATGCAGTAGTGAGCATAATGAGCAAGTCAGAAGACTGCGTTGAGGAGTTGATTGACCATGTATGGAGGCAAATGTGTATCACTTCTTGGGGAGGGCACGAGACCAAGACATCTCCATCTTGCATGTGCAAAGGTATGAAGGGAAGTGCGTCAGATACTCCACCCCTCACATAAGAGTAGAAGGTTCTCCTAAAGAAGTGTCGTAAGAGGGAGACGATGATGAAGTCGACTGGGATGTGGAGGATATCGGGAAGGATGCGGCAAACGACGCGAAGGCGAGTGAAGAACAGTGTTTGGTTTATACCTGCAAAAAGTGCGTCAGTGCGGCTGCTGATTGGAAGATGTCAGCGGGCGAAGAATTCCAAGTGGTGCCACCGGACCTACTTGTATTGAACACCACTGCACCTATCATTGTTGGTATTTGCCGAACAAAGCTGCGCAAATTCGCAATAGCCGGAGTGCTCTCTACCTGGATCAAGTAAATCTAAAGCAGGATGGAAATGTTGATGATAGGTTATAGGGGCGAATCAGAAGAGGGAAAGGTGGGTGAGATGATCTGAAGGCGAGGGTACTTTGGAACGTAATGGGGTAAGTGGGTAAGTGGGGTTGACCGAGAAGGGAAAGAGAAGGCACGAAGAGATGTAGAATGTTAGAACTAAAAAAGTGCTTTGGTTATAGCAAATTAGAATAAACACAGTTTTTATGGGTGGTCACATTAAAAAGAATAAGAGTTTGAATGAGTTTTGTCCATGGCATAAAAGACCTACTCGAAAAATCGAACAGACAGATTCTACCTGGTTGCTATCACAATGGTCACCCCATTGCATCGGGTTCGCTTAGCGCTGTCTTCAATGCGGTGGACAAAGTCCTCTCCTAAAATCGTAATGCAACAAGGTGGTGTGGAAGAACACACAACATTCTAACGTGTAGATTTGTCGGGAGGGTATTTCAAGGCTCAAAGTTTTTGCTGCAAAGCGGAATTCCGACGTCTGAGAACTGAGGAGGAAAACGCACACCTAAGCAAGGAATCACATCACTAAGCTCGAAAACATCAGTGTTATTCACTTGCATAGGTACGATGGCAACTAACCGCATTTATGTCGTAGAATTGGCAAAATCTAGCTCCCTCTACCGATGATTGAGGGCTTGCGTGCCGTTGGGTAGACATCTGACAGACTGACTACAGGGTTAAGGTGATGTGCGGCTAGTTTGAAGACACATTATTTATGCGAGACAGGCTCAAGAGTCGGGGACGTAGACAATCAGTCGAAAAGGGAGACCCAATTTATGTTTGCCACTGGCTTATAGATTAGGTAATCCACCGGTGAGAGTGAAGTTGACGAAAGAGGATCATCTCCTTCAAACGTTGAAAAGCGTGACAGAATCTAATTCTATATTTGATGGAAGAAGGACCTGAAGACCACCAGCACAATCAGAACTTCATGTCTTCATCAATGGGGCACGATAGTTTGGTCCCAGAATGCCGTTATATTCACGGCTACTTGCATTTTTTTCCCATCATCAGAATTGTACGAATTACATGATGGCTTAATCATTCGATTTTTCAATTGTTTGACTACGTGAGCCTTTCAGTTTGCGCAGGTAAGTAGACCCACAACTTCCCAAAAGTTCCACATTCGTTCCTATACGCACAATATAAGCCTATCTCTCAAAATCCAAATCATTTCTACAACAAACAGCTCCGGAGCGCCTGTTATGACTACCATTTGAAACATTTAAAAATCTTATCCAGAGTTAGATATTACAAAATGTTACAAACAAAACAATTAGTACGCTACATAAAATGACAGCGTGCAAAGAGTTTGATTTGTCAACGGTGGATCCGACCCAAGGGCGCCCACCTATTCGGGTTCGGTGCCTAAGAAATCCATCAGAAGGCGTAAAATTCGACAAAAATTGAATAATACATGTTAAAAATAATTACATACAGCTGAAGTCTTTGCGTACATCGGAGTAGGTAATAATCTGTAGAGAAAACGAGGGGTGCATGCAGTTATTCAGTCCACTTGTGGAGGCAATCAAGATTAGTGCACACATAGTATAGACGCATATTCTCTTCGGCCCTGACTGTTTGGGATTGGAAAAATACCGCTTCCTGTTTCTTACACTTAGGACACTGATGCTCCTCCGTTCTCGGTAGTGTTGGATCGTGTACCACGTCAGGGACTATCAGCGCTAACTCACTAAACAACAGATCAAAGTAGGTAATGCTTAACAAGCTAGAGTAATGCTCTACGACCATTCTTCTTTTTACGAGCGCATTACCACTGTAACATGCGTGACATATGATCATCTTCAGTGTATGCTAATCAGCTGAACCAAGCCGTGGCGCAAGCAGACTTGTCGGGTATACAAAACAAATAATCAGTCCAGAGCTTCCCCAGCATAAGGATGCTTATAATCTCTAAATGAAATACCTCTCTTTAACTTAATGGCAGGCTGGCCTTCAAGAATTTGACGAAAACAATTATCAGATTTAGTAACTGTATGCTTTTAAGTCTTCTGCTGAGCCTTTGAAAATAAGGTAATTCGTTTTACTTTATGGGGTATCTAACAAATCAACGTATAAGAGACAGTGCATACCGCAAGCCTCATCGGCAATAATCACATTATTAAGAATTAAAAACCGATCCAAACAGGCCAATAAAAGTATGAAATTAAACAGGAATACGAAATAGTACGCAATTATGACAAATTTTGTGGAGGTAAGCATTCGTGAAATAAAATTCCACAATGACATATAGAAATTCATTAATGAGAACCAATGTCACGATTTTCCCCATATTAAATTAGAGGTGATTAAACAAAAAAGTAACAAAAAACCTTACTCGATGGCCTGCTCCAAACGATTAACATAAATGCAGGGATTATCCGCCGGCTGCATAAACTCACAATTCCTACATGCATACATGAGCCTTTTGTGTCGTTTATCTTCCTTTGGGTAAAGCATATTGTTGCACTCACTGCAAAAAAGGATGCCAACACCTTCTGTTTTTACATCCTCCTATGGAAGAGTAAAAAATAAAAAACTCCGAACCTCCATCCGCCCAAAGACCTGATTGGGGAAACGCGAACACGAAGAGGCGTGAAGCTTTAAGCACATTAAAAGTAAAATGGATGTGTAAAACTGGAAGGATTAGTCCACCTCCGTTCCATTAAACATTCCTTCCACTTGAATTTTAACATTATTAACAAGTTATTCTGTGCAAAAGGCCTAGCATATTAATAAGGGCTAATTCGAAAACTTCTATAGATAAATTTATTAATGTTTAGGTCAGGATGATTTACAGTAAGCCACTTAAGCTTTTAAGCTGTGTAACTCTTAGTTGGTGTTTAAAAAGTTTTGTTTTATTGAGTTTAAAAAGGAAGTTTTTGGTGTTGTTACCAGTACTTTAACTGCTCTTTGTGAGAATTTGCCTAAAGTATTTTTTAGATTCCCGCATGTGTCCACACTGTAGAATTAAGAAAATTGAATACTTACGTGCAGGCAACTCATTTTAGTTGTTTGGCTTTGTTCTTCTAAGTTTGGATTTGATGTCATTATAGATATTACTAATTATTTGGAATAGCCGAAGACACCTGAATTCATAGAATGTGATTTTTTAGCTAAAGCTTTTCAAGAAGAGAATACATATGTCATAGGTCAGTAGGACCTGGAGCTAATGGCATTACCCGGAAACCAGCTAACTCAGCTAGGTTACAATGACGGGGAGCCTAAGCGGCTCCTTTACCAGAACTAAGATTTTGATAGAAAGCAGAGGTATTTTAAGGTCTTTGTGATTTTACAACTAGGTCGGTCGACAAAGTTTTAATGGATTTTACTTGCCGTATTCAAAGAAGACTGCATGCTGTGTATCAATTGCGAAAATGCAAGCTTACAAATTTTGTCAGCTGCGCCTGATGGTCCACATAACTTCTTCCCCTCATAATGACGTAATCTGCTCGGTCTTTTATTCTGGACTTACTTTGCTTCGTAACAATTAGTATCGTTGGAATCGGACCCATTAAATAAGATCGCATAAAGATCAGTTTTTTAAGAAGTTGCTCCTTGCCTTCCTATATCTATATCGGCATGTGACAACTACTACAGAATTATTCAAACAAATTTCTTTCCATTTTTTGCTTTGAATCGAATTTTGCTTAGTCAGTAGTTTTTTAAAATTCATGTGTATGATGAGGGCTAGATGATGACAAGAGCAGCATTTTAGGAATTCTTACAAGAGGTCAGAAAAATTTTGTAATTTGTGATGTGGAAAAGCGTTGTAACACCAACTTAGAGGCTAAGAAATTTCATTTTATTTACGGATTTTTTCTGCAGGAGTAGTTTATTGGAATATAGTGCCTTAAATACTAATTTTTATAAGTTTTTGTTAGAAATTTTTCATTTTTGAAAGTAGGACTTCCATGAGACCTCTACGCAAACGCGTAGTTCAGAAATAAAGTCATTTTTGCCTATTTTTTAATGCAAATTTAAGCGTAGGATAAACCTAAAGTCAGAAATTTGGTCTTTGATTGCCGAAATAAGGCTGTTCTTATTTTGTCGTCACAGAAAGTGTTTCCGCTAAGGGAATACATTCGAGTTACTTTATTACTATTAGGCGATTAGAAAATCAGAATTCAGTTCAGATATTGGCAATTGGGTTCCACAGAACGGCCGTAATGAATGCCTAAATAGAACTGCATGTTGAGGAAAACAGTTTATTATACTCTCATTTACAGGAGACTTCATGTATAGCAATAAAAAGAGTAGATACCTATTAGTTTAAGGAACATCTTTAAAGGTTTTAGGTCTAAAAATAGTTTTTACATCAAAATACATTAGTGCCATTCGATTTTATTAATCAACACTATTACGAAAGCAGCACACCGAGTCTTTAGGGAAGTCGTAACTGCCATTCTAGAAACAAGAGCCAGAGCTATAGCCAACTGCTTCTTTTGTCATAATATTACTTAACCTTCAAAGAGATAGGAGACGATGCAGCTGGCAACATAGGCGAACAAGTGTCAAGTCATGTAAAATTAACTAATTTTTTAGTGCTACCTGGTAATAATCCTGCTTCGATTGCGGAAAATTATTAAAATAAAACTTTTAGTGTTTGCTAGTGCATTATCTCGCTCGTGAGCAGCACTTAATGAGATCTATCTCCTATAATTTCTAGCATTGTTTAAGTGCGTCCATACACACACCGCTCTTTTGGTAGCCTTTGTCGGTTGCAAGCGCTGGTTGTTGGTCTGAGAGGGTATTCTCCTAAGTCCTCGACAACGCAATGGATCAGCATGTAAATTTGTTTTGCTTCTGTCTAATGCTTGGTAAATAGATGTGTATGTATCTTTGTGCACCTTCTTTTTTTGCACAAACCTAGTAGGGTTGTCTTGGATTATTATATTTGATGATTAAAGTGCATTAAAAATTCACTTTAAGATCACTTATTTTCTCCAGCAAATGCCATGTTGGTATTACGAAAAGGAGGACTTTCTTCGAACCCCCTCCATCTTAGATGGGGTTGATCAACAAACAGAAACTCGTTATCGTCGTGAGGGTGCCCGCTTTATCCTCGACCTCAGCACTCGACTTCACCTTCGCTACGACACCTGGGCCACGGCTATCGTTTTTTTCCATCGTTTTTACATGTGTCACTCCTTTAAAGCTTTTCCTCGTCATGTAAGCTCCATCAACTCTTATTTATTCGCACTTTTTTAAAGTTCTAGTCTTCTTATTCCTTTTAGGTTACTGCTGCTTGTTGTTTAATGTTGGCGGGAAAGGTTGAGGAAACTCCGAAGAAGTGCCGAGATATAATTCGGACGGCTCGTGAACTCTTACCTCCTGAATTGTTTGCTACCTTTGGGAATGATCCTAGGGTATTTGTTGCATGTCTTCCTTGAGCTCTATTCAAAATACAATCGTTGATGACTGATTTACACTTTAGGAGGAAGTGATGATGTACGAGAGGGTGCTTCTAAAGACCATTAAATTCGATCTGCAAGTCACTCATCCTTACAGTTTTCTCCTGCAATATGCGAAGCGCCTAAAGGGTAAATCGTTTCAATTACTTTTATTCTCTTCAAAAGTTATTCCCACTTTTTTTGGCTTTTACTAGTGAGGAAGCAAGACTGTTAGGTGTTGATTTAGCTGGATTTTGGTATTTGAATTTTTGTCTATCAAGGATTTCTTTCACCCAACGATGCAACAGTGAATGGATGCTGCTTCTTCTAAAGTAGAATCGGTAAGGTTACTCGGCTTTTGGGGGAAGTATTAATGCTATTCTGTAATGTAAAGGTGTAAATCCGAAAGGCCTCTAAATATAGGAGCAGGGATTTCGATTTTTTGATTCCAATGAGGCTTATCCACCTTTAGTCCATGATTTCTCCTCATACAGTAGGCATTTAGGTCAAAGAAATTATCATAATTCAAACTAATTGTTACTTAATTGATCCTGAAGCTTATGGTTGAAAGTGACTAGAAATCAATCACTTTTTTCTATCATATTTGCTCTTCAGTGAATAAGGGAGTTGTTTTGTAGATACTTTGACAAAATTCCAAAATTTTTCATTTCGAAACAAGCAGAGCATCTCAAAGCACATTTGTTTATTTTTTAAAATGTGTTTTTACAATTTTCTGCAAAGTTGTGCAATTCCGGAAAGAGCGTACTCCGGGTGCCTGGGATGGCTAGCTGTGCTGACGAGGTTTTATTCTGAAACCTCCTAGATATTACTTTAATGCTAGAGATGTGCTTAAACGTGAAAACATTTTTCACCGACTGAGTTTTTTCTTTGGAAAAGCAAAAGCTACTTTGTCGCAAATTCCAAATCTTGTGTTATTTTGTGCTAAGCAGTCAAAAGTGGATCGCTCTTTTTCTGTTTATTCTGGTAAAATTCGTTAATGATACATGAGCCTGTTGGAGATATGAAATCGTCACCGTCTCATGATTTGTTGTCATGATATTTTTGAATCTTTGTCCCAAACCCTTTGACCATTTCGGAACATATACATCAATAGTACCGCTCTGAACTTAGCTACTGGTTCTTCTATTTTAATCCCAGGCTCCCAGGAGAAAATCAAAGAGATAGTGCAAATGGCGTGGTCTTTCATCAACGACAGTCTGGAGACCACCTTGTGCCTCCAATGGGAGCCCGAGATCGTGGCATGCGCGGTACTCTACCTGGCAACTCGGATGAAGTCTTGGCCCGTCACGGACTGGCACGGACGTCGACCTGGCCAACCTTGGTGGGAGTGCTTTGTCGAGGGTATGACTGTAGAGGTGATGGAGGATATCTGCCACCGCATCCTTGACATCTACTCCGATGGAAACAAGTCCGGTGGCGGTGAAACGGTCACTAAATCCGATGCACCACCGCAGACTGGATCGAAAAGGCGTAGCCACCACGCCCCATCCCCACCTCCCCCTCCTCCTCCACCACCATTACAGCCTTTGAAAAAACCGATGGAAGGTTAGTCGAAGGCCGGAGTGGCTGAATTTTTCTAGGCTTTGATTCAAGTCACTTACGCCAGGTTTCTTCTGACAGCAGTTCAACTCCAGTCATCCAACAACAATGCCACGATGGCAACGACTACTGCTTCTGGTCTCGTGTGGAATCAGACGATGCCGAGGTACGAACATGGAATACTCCCTACGGCTTTCCCACAGCCATTTGTTGGAGTGGGTTCTGCGTCCACGACACTTGTTGGAGCGCCCCCTCCTCCGCCACCGCCCCCACCAGCGATTCCAGTGAGTGATCAATCACTGTGAGAGATACTAGTGAGGGATGGAATCAATTTTATTGCTGGTAGTTGAAGTCTAGGGTCCTCGTCATTGTCTATTATGGGCAATGTTTAATTACTTCATACTGTTTAGCTTCTTTTGAAGTGCCAATCCTGAACACATAAATGTTTCTTCATTCAGACTGCCATGGATAGTAACTTGAAACTAGGACTTTTAAATCCTAACCACACTAGTTTTTCATGCATTCTCCTGTTGCTGCATTGTTACACACCTTCAAGTGACTCACAAAATTTTGGCTTTGAAAGACCTTTCTACACCTCTGAAGCATTCTGAAACAGCCAGCCTCACATCATCGGTGCTGAGGTGGTGGAGGTGGATTCACATGCTTCCACTGCATTCATGCTCGTTGTAACATCAAAGTACTCGTGCTCAGGTTTCTTCACATCTAATAATACGATTCAAAACGTTCTAGCCTTCGCTATTAAAGTACTCCTTCAACTCCAACACTGTTTTCAATTCGCCTGGGCTGGTCAAAAACGGAAAACCGTTATGATACCCTATGTTCACTAACTTGTCAAACCTGCGTCTATTTGTGTCCACAAATGATGGTGTTGTGCCTAGTGGAAGCGCTGAGCACAACATAACAACTTAACCCCGAAATCAAAAAGAGTAAGAAAGCGGCAAAAGCATGCAACCTCACCGCTGTCGTTTCAGTCCCGAAGATGGGGTGAAGCTGGTTGTCTTGGAATAGTTCATTGGTGCAGCTAGGTCTTTTTTGCAATTTTCATTTCTTTTTCTCCGTTATTATAAGCGTAAAAGCCCTAATATGACTTACAGGCTACTCCTGAAAAGTTACAGAAGACCTGGGGACCGTTACCATGGCTATAACTCCACCTTTTCGGCTAGAAAAGGCTTTACGAGCAATAATAAAGTTTAACCCTAACATTTTCCTCACTTTCGTTTCAGCTGGCGCCGCCGTTGCCACCACCACCGCCTCCACCTTTACCTACAGTGCTCACTACCCAGGCCCCACCCCCGCCCCCACCACCACCCCCCGGGGGGCCCTGGCTGCTCCCTCCTGGTCACCCGCCCCCTCCTCTCATGAGTGTAGTGGTGCCTCCACCCTCCGCTGCTGCCGCCGCCGCAGCGGCAGCCTTTGTTGCAACGCCAAGCGGTTTTCCGCCACACCCTCCACTTGCTCCCTAAACTCTGTTAGTGTTGATGTGTACTGTATTATGGGGCGGTTTCGTGTACAGAAACTGTATGCACTCTGATTGCAGCTTTATTAATTTTCTTATAAATCAGTGTAACAGAGCGTTATTTTCGTGTGTTTATGTTTCTACGTATCCTTTGAGCGCCGGGAGGCTGCTATTCATGTGTTTTTGTTCATCACATCTAAGCTTTACTCGTTTTCGTGGCTCTGGATTTGTCACACGCGTGGCGCATTTCTGAATCCCTCAACTCGTCATTAGATGACCATGAAAGGACCTCGTTGCCTTGTTATGAACGCGCTTCACTGGCTGTGTACTTGACATTGTCAAATCAGGCCACAATTGTCCTCTTAATCCCACTGTTTTAGTGAAACCCAGTCTTTAAAGTTATTTCTGTCCTAGGGCTGGCTTTTCTGCCACATTTGTCGACCTTCTACTCCATCAGCCAGATTATGCCGCGCAGTAAACTTGATCAAGGCATATCATCGCACTGATTTGCAAGTCCGAGGCTTTTAGGGTCTCCCTAGCCGTCCTCATAGCACTCGTCCCGTGGATTTGCTCTGAAACCGCAGAAATAAGGGTCTGTAGAGGTTAAGTAATCGTCACTTGGGAATTGGCCTAGGAGAGCGTCAAGCTGTAACCCTTGACAGTGGTTTCAGGCAGTCATTCAGACCTGTAATAACTAGCTACAAGCCATACCTTTGTCCAATATTTCCCCAAAAACTACTGAGGTACAGAGTTATCAAGGACATTTTTCCAGCTAACGGTGAAAAATTACCAAAATCTACGAGCTAAAACATTGAAACACGGAAGGTGAGGGGATGAACGCACTATGCAGCTGTATTGTAGCGCCCCGGGACTCCCTGAAGACGAATGAAGACACAGTACTGGGGCAAAATATATATTCAGCGCAGGGAAGGTGTCTGGGCTATTGGCATGGCCCAAAAGGCCGGCCCACCCAGCGAGATAATGAAACCTTGTTCAAAGTACAAAAGTGGCCCCTCACAAGTGCCGAGGGATAAACCACTATCGTATTACAGTATGTCGTAGATTATCTCTTTTATTCAATATAGCTGCATACATACATTCGACAAAAATTTGCTAGATAAGTCGTCATAGTTCGTCTTAAAATGTGTAGCAGTTCAGGCGAATATTTATTTGCACTTGTTGTTTATCGGCACTTCTGTTGCCTTTGATCGTAATTCTGCAGTAATTGATTCATTTGCGGTGCTGTAATATGTCGTTTTCTCAGCTCCCAGTTATAGTAATGAACTACTCGGGAGCTATGCCATTGAACCCTTGGTAGGTGCCCTTCTGTTTCTCAATAATGCATTTTATCCCTGGGTATGCCCTCTGTCAACTTCAGGAATGTCTAGAGGCGCTGAAGAACCACAAGATCCCGAAAATAACATTTTTACTCAATTGTTACCCGTTATAGGTCATAGTGAAGTTCGCTTCTCTTTTGCATAATTTGACATTTACTTAGGGTAAGTATAATCTGAATGTAACTATTGGTTCTAAATTGACCTCCGTGTTTATCAATAACGATATACAACGCCAACAGCCTATTTGATTTTTGTGCCAATTTGCTACTCTTTTACTAAATCCCAGGTGCCATAAAAAGTCAAATTTTTAAAAAGCTAACGAATAGACTACTTTTTGCAAAAGTCACCGTTGTTAAATTCTCCTATTGAGCGCTTACATAGCCTTGAGATTGGTAATGTGGGCCTGATGAAACTAACCATTTAAGAATTTCTTGTAGTTAATCGAAAGTGATTAATGAGTGGTAACAGGTTATTATCCTTAGACCGCTTATTGACATGCATTCTAGAGTAGTTTAGGGGCCTAGAAAGTAACTTGAAGACATTATTATGATCATGGTTCCCTTTTGGCTAAGAAATACCCCCATTTTCTTGGTTCGTTAGTTATTGGTTTTTTGATACTTATATCTGTTGTTATTTTGTGGGAATTACATAATAAAATGTGGTGCCTGATTTGCTTCACTCCTTCTTCCAAGTTATTTTGACTGGAGATAGTAACCTTACGCAAACTTATAAAACTTCAAATTCGTTGTTTTTTTAGGCATTTTCCATCAAACTTGTAATATGCACCAATGAATTCTGAAGCTAAACGATTTGCGCATTCTCAAGTTGTCTTTAAATCGTAACCCTAGCTTACTTTCACTTTCCCTACCCTATGATGTACACTTTACTTTTTTCATTTCTTTTACACAGGTAAAATCTCACATGTGTGTTGTTGGACTACATTAGCATCTTGTAACTGCACGCGGTGTCAAACTTGTTACAGATCAAATCCACTCATCCAATTTGATGTATTCTCACTTCCAGAACTCAAATGCTCCTCAAATCGACAACTGTTCGTGTGCGCTGCGTTCTCTACAGTCAAGTTGTCTTTTCCGTCAGCCTTACTTTAATGGGCCTCCTCCTGATCATTTCCAGTGCTGTTAGTGTCAGGAATCTCTACTGGATGTGCCCTGTTCTCAATCTCTACTACTCTGTTTCTTGGCTCACTCTCGCATTGGGCATTGTACAGGTCCTTCTAGGGTGCATAATCGCCATTCTTCTCTACTTTCAACCACGATGCGCGAAACAGGGCAAGTTTAACGACTTTTCACCTGTTCCATTTGCAGTAGTTTTATTTACGGTGTTATAGTTACTTGGCTAATCTGTGTCAAAAATTACCCTGAGGACCTTTTGTCACTTCTGTAGTATGATTTTTGCTTATATGAACCGAGTTCCTCTTGCAGCAGTTTGATGATTTGTAAGTTGACCTTTTGATCTTTATTTTCAAATGCATCCCTTTTATCACCTTTATGTAAACGCAATAGTAGAAACAATCTCCATTGTGTTTTGAGCACATATTTTCCCTTTTTTAATGTATTGCAACTCAGATTTTGTATTCGTTTGGCTTGCTGGGATGCCATGCTTTCACTTTGGCTAATCTTGCATTTTGTGACGATGTAAGGTTGCCTAAATGTATGCCTGATATCGTTCTTGAATACTTGGTTAGTCATTGCAATGCTTCAGTAAGTGGTCTTGAGGCGACTGACATGATGCGATAATACTTTTACCATCACAGCCCAGACGTTTTGTCCTTTTGATTGCTAATGGCACCACCGCCCAGGTGCAAAAATCTCGCAGGCAATTGCTCTCAGAATATGCAATTTCTGCTTCGCTTTGACGGATGTAACCTCAAACAATGCGCTTGCGACAATTTGGATCTGGTTATCAGTAAGTTGACAAAGAAAATATGTGTGACGTCGAACTCAGATGAAGGCACTGATAAACAACGTTTTAATTACTTTCTAGTAAACGCTGAATTTCACTGATAAGGTAGGCTTCGCTTCGTCATCTGAATTGGTTTTTTTGGCGTTTTAACAGGCAAAAGTTCATCCGTGTGTTTTGTCAGCAGCAAGATTCACCATTGCTGTCGGAGAATGTGGAAGACTGATATGATTTAATGAGAGGCATACACGTCTAATAGGCTGACAAGGCGTCATTTCACAGGGGCGTACTTGTTTTAGGCTTCTGCAGTATATCAGGAAGACTGGAATGCAAAAGAGTAGGCCTAGAGATACTTTTGAGTACTTTGTTTTCACTGATCTACCTATTTAAGGATCATTCTTTGATTGCTAAATATTTTCTTGACTTTTTTCTTTCTCTATTTGTAATGAAGCTGGCGTGAAGGTGGTTCGATAGTATCGTGTATTAAGGTTACTCCCCCCACACACGTGATACATTTGGCAAGGCTACTCGAGCCGTTTACATTAAGATTGGTGGCCCAACAATTGAAATGTGGAGTGCTTTTAAACTCCTCCCTTTAATTGAAAATAAAGCTTAGCCTTCTATGAAACAAGTAATTGTCGTGGCGTGCTTATTGGTGCCGCTCTTCTCGCTCATTCTCTCCATGTTTGTTTGTGTTTGCGTGTTTGTGTTCAAGCGAAGTGAAGACCTGAAACACGCAAACAGCGGAGGGATTTTATATCTGCCATAAAAGTTGAGGCTGTCAAGCAAAGCCTAGGTAGGGTAATGGGAATACTTAAGAAATACTGGGGCAAGTGTTCTTTTACCTATGCTCCTATGATAACAAAAGATCGTAAATTTTATTGGTTCTTAGTGTAGCTTTATCAACTATCATCTCATCCTTTAGAGTTGTATCCCTCTGTTGCATGTGTACTACTTACCCTGTTAATTGACACCCCCCCCCCGTCCTCCCTCCTATCATTTGCTCCGCTTCAGCGTCTCCCACAGGATCAGTTCAAGGCAAACTGCAAGAGCTGTCACTCAAACAATACCTCTCATTGTAGAGCCTAACATAGAGAATGCACTTCTTTTAACTACTGAAATTTTTAACCAGCCTTTGAATTTGGGCTGCTTTAAGTGGTGCTATTACTCCACTGTTAGATGAAATTGCGTCATAATGTAAAGAACGGTTTTTGTTAATGGGACTTGAAAAATGGCGTCTCCTCACGATGATAGCATACCACTGCTATAGATGTTTGGCTTTGCCATTTTCAAGCCGATGCATCGGTGCTCTAGTTAAACTTCGTAGTACATTTGACTTGTTAATTTCCTCGTGATATCTGTCACAGAAAATGTGTGACATGTGGTCTTGGTGCCTTTTTTGTGTGACAATTGGTTGAAACAAATTGTGCCTCAATCGGATTGGTTGAGTTTCATACAATGCTATGCAATCGACAGATAGTGCACGTGTTGGTGTCACTCCGGAACACAAACACATCTGGTTTATTGTGTGACCCTGGTGGTGATCGCAGCAAAGCATGATCACTTTTGCCATCTAGTCTGTCAAAGTCCTGCTTTAACAAAGAAAGAATGCTTTGCTCTGCCTTCTACAGAAAACCTCGTTTTGATTGGTCCGGAAGGTAATCCATTAGGAGAAATCGCCGAGAGCCCAGGTCATAGCGTCTCAACGCAGTATTGGACGCTTCGCCTCTCCTCGAACCATGTGAACTCGCATGGGTGCTGCCGCTGGCGATCCCGCTTCTGTTGTTGCTTCTACAGTGGCAATCAATCAATGGTGTCTAGCATCACTGCCTGGTTCCGTCCAATGGCCATCCTCTTTCTCCTCATCATCGTTTCACATATAGCTGCCATCCCTCTTACCACCTCCTTCATCTCACAAGCGCAAGATCCCGAATCTGGGCTCTTGACTGAGGTGGGGTGTTGCCAGTCTACTTGAAAAGCTATTTCAGTATTTGTTTGCGGGAATAACCACTGCTGTGACTCTAGATAGTACATGATGTTAAATATAGAATCGAAACAAATACAATTTAAACACCTAGCTCCTATACCATTTTGAGCATTGTCTCCCGCGGTCCTCGCGACCTTTCCACCGCCTACACCATCACGAAGTTCTCAGGTTTATTATAACCAGGCGCGAAGACCGCACACTGATTTTCCTTCATTACAGAAATTGGCTAAATTCATTTTCATTCTTGACTATGAATGGCCTAGAGTTCCTCTTTCAGGGTCAAAATTGTCTCTCAGAAGTGAACTTCTCACACATTTTACTGTATTATTCTCTCTCACTCGAGGAAGAGGTGTTTGTATTTCGCATATAATTTACCCGTGTCGTCTTACTAGTTTCAAATTTAAAAAAATTGGTGCTATAAAAGCCTATTGAAGAATCAAAATAATGAATGACCCCATCACCTCGACTGAGGGTGCTAGCATAATCCACTGATGACTTGTGACACCTACTCCTTGATAATCATGGTTTTTCTTATGCAAAAGGAATCTTTAACGCGGTGTCAGCAATCCAACATGATTAACCTACTCAACAAAAAAGCATGTAAATAGCTTCCTCTATTTGACAGCTGCATGTCAGCCAATATGATGCGGACAAATGCAGATTTCGGGGTCAAATGCACTGTGGCGAAGTTTTTTTGCTCTCTTAAAGATCACTTAATGGCCAAGGCTACCACTTTTATTGTCATAGAAACTCGTTTTATGTAAAAGGTGAGGATTTAGAGTGACAATAGCTGAAGTCGTGTCAAAAATATCCACCACAAGAAGGCTGGGTGGCATTTAGATGACCTTTTCTTTTGAGTGCTAGTCGGTGGACCCCTCAAATCCCAACGGCTGCTGGGTAGGGTTAATACCAAAATCGTACAGTTGTTGTCCATGAAATGGTTGATCAATAAATAACATTTTAGGTAGAAAATATCTTCGTTGAAGCGAAGCCCTACTTCCTTCACGCCACCCTCTCGATAGCATCATCGTCGGCTGCGAAGTGCTGGTATTCCATGGAATCCAGTCGTCATTGCTGTGGCAGTGTTGGTGCTGCTGATTGGCTCAGGGATTACCCAACAAATCAAACTCATCTTCGTAGGTCTTGCATTCACATGTCCTGCTGCGCTTGGTGCCCCTTAAAGGCCTTTTTTTGTAACCTCGCTGTCCGCGTAAAGACCAAGTCACAACTCTTCAAGTTAGTACGAGATGCCAAATCTTCTCCCACTTCCCATTTCAAATGCTCCAACCCCTGATATCAAAGTTAAGTGCATACCTTCACTTCAGGCTAAAAGTCATGAAACCTAACACTAAGATATGGAATCACCTTGTCACACTACGATTCTGCACAGCTTCAGGCTGAAGCCAGTAGAACTCACCTTTGCTGACAGGGTCACTTGTTACTGCTTTTAGAGTAACTTCGACAACTGTAATTTCAAAAATTTCCAAAACTATAACTGACAATCAATCAGCCTAAATAAATAACTTAAAACAGATAATTGCCCCACATTCATTGGCTGATTATTTTACGCCAATCTTGATTGGTTGGGATTTCGATCTTTGTTAACTGATTGGTCGGAGTTATTCTCAGCACTGTTTGCCTTTCAGAAACTCAACTTAACGCTCTTCTGAAGAGATGTGCGTGTTCTAAGGAAGAAAAAGGAACTTGTGAAAGTCAATTCTTTTCATTTCCTTCAAACGCGACCAAAAGTGCTTTGATTTATTCTCGCGGGTGTGGCAGTGTCATCTACCATGACATTATGCATGACCTGAATGGTAGGAATTATTTATAAAAATACTTTTTGTATGAAAGACAGGTGGATCCTTATGAAGCTGTCTTTAGAAAATGGGCGAAAATTAGAAATAAAGTTTAATTGATCATCTTCTATAGTCTTGCAACAATCCCTGACTAGACGATTTCTGTTTACGAACATGCCTTGATGTGTAAAGCCCACAGAAAAAAAGCTCTTTGTTGGTTTGAACTACAATCTTTTCAATAATCGTAACTCGTGGAAAATAGTGGACAAGTCTTTAGTTAGCATCCATGCGACAGGTTTAAGTTAACAATTTCCGCTTAGCGACATTAATTGTTTCGATCTCATTTATCAATCATGAGTAGTATTTGATGAATCTATCAAAATTCTACCTTCCCCTCCCAGTTTTCAAATCCCTCGTTCCAGTCTCTTTCACCGTGGTTCTCGTGGCTTGCCTAGTATGCGTTATTGTGACGTTACTCGTGGCCAACCTGGAAATGGGTGATGAAGAAGTGGCGACGAGGAGCAATGGCATCGCTATTGCTCCCTCACAACCCTCTTCCATGCACGCTGGATTGGATGTCACTCCTGCCTCAACATTGAACCGGAAAGTAAACCCAACTACACCAAACCGCCTCTCTGAAGTCGCAGGACCGGCTCTCCTCACGCTGTCCACACGCGACTCTTGAAAGTAGATCACATCTCACTCCTTACTTTTATTTTAAATGCACATATCTACGCGATGTTTGGACAAAAATTTGTTTTGGCCCATCTACTTGATACTTTCGCTGACTAGATTGTCTACTGATATTTTTTCAGTAGTTATTTGTCTTTACTTTTACATTTTAGCCTTTGTATATAAGTAAATAGCAATGCCAACTACGAGGTCATCCTTTTTTGCCCTTTTCATCGGAAAGTGGGACCAAAGATTTCAATGTACACTTTTTTAGATTCAGTCGCCACAAAAGGAAGCAATTTTTTACTCTTCACTTTCCCCGTGCTCTAAAATATCGGCATTTTTAACGTGCTACTTTATGAGTAAAGGCAGTTTTTCCTCCAACAACTTTCACTACATGAGCATTTATGCTTCGGTAAAAAGAACTATTTGAAAAAAAATGACCAAAAAATGACAACCAAAGCTGAAAAAATGGTTATTTAATCCAATGAAGCACATTGGCATTCATGAATTTTTGATGGAAATCCTCTCTGTTGCCCCTTCCGGCTTTTTATTTCATGGCATTTATTTACTCCTCTACTCATTAGAATTATTTTATAGTGTGGAACTCATCGTTTCCATTTAATCAGGGTTGAAAGGTGGTAGAATAACTGCACATGTGAGTACGTGAGTCACCTCGGCCTCCTGTACTTGAGTTTTCACATCGAGGACATGACCGTCTGCTGTCATCATAGGTGCTGAGGAGAGTGCTTCAGACTCCATTACTTCACAATGTCTTCAAGGAAATTGATGGGAATGTTAATGACAGGAAACTTCTGTTGCAGGTAGCTGGGTGTGTAGTGCCTCTCAGCAGAAAAGCTGTTGAAACCGCGCCGACTTTTAGCAAACAACAAAATCTTGAGTTCTGCATAAAGTAATGTGTGAATTGAGGTTGAAATTTAAATCAACAATCATTACACAACCTATGTTACTGGCTTTCAGACGTTTTTAGCCCGAGAGTGTAGTCAATCACGTGCATCATTACTTCCAATTTACGAAAGGTCTTTAAACTTGACATGTCATTTTTTCGGAAAAAAAATGTGTCGCAAAATACCAAAATTTGTGTCGTATATCTGTATATAGGCTTTGATTTCCTGTTATTTGGGAGGGCCTCTCACAAAACTGCATCTTGCAATCAATTACTCGTGCTACTTACTGTTGTTATCAGTAACACAAGCGATATCACAAACCTTAGAAAACTTCAGGCCATCATTAGCGTGCAAAACTAGGAGAACACCGTTTTAACATACTGTTGTGAAAGAAACGTTAAAATAGTTAGTAATTTGGAAGATAACTCATAGTACCCGACCATCACATTCTCATGCAACTATGCTACTAACTGTTCACTTCAGTAGCAATGGAGGAGGAATCTGTTTCCATCGGCAACGGTGGGCATTGAGAGGAATCTACAAGAACCTATCATAAATGATTAACTGAAAGATGAAAGGGCAAAAACACTACAAACGCCACCAAACGACTCACCAAGAGTCAATACCTCAAGTATCCAAGCCTGCCGCTTGATGTTTTAATCAATTGTAGTACTGAGTCTCTTGACATTCGATCCGTTCAATGACGCGAAACCATAAAATGACCCATTAGATTACGCAATATCGTCGAGCCGCATTACTGACTACTTTCTGCAGTAGTGGCGGAAACACTGCACAGCTCAGTATGATTTTTACCATTGGCATTCCATCCACCAGTCTTTAGAATCGGGACAACTCCCTCAATAAAAAACAAGACATCACCACCACCCCAGCAATTATCAACTATTGTCTTCCTTATCAACAGCAATACTTAGTTACATTGTACACTTAAGCACAGTCCCCAGGAGGTGGAGGACGGGCCGTTGTTTTGCAAAGCACAGCACCGAAAGAAACCAAAGAGAGGAGGCAAGGCCAATGAGCAAAACACACGATGGAAAAAAGTCGAAAAAAGGGTTTGGTAGTACTGCGCATGAAAAGGGAATCGAAACCGAAAGAAATGCAAGTAAAACAAAGGATAAGGAGGAGGCGGGGGGAAGTTATAGGAAATCTCGCTGTATTTGTCTAGGGAAACGACAGTTATGGACTGGAAGCACGATCTCGCATCCACTTCGTGCGAAAAGGAAGAAGAAGAGGAGGGAATGGTGAAGGATCAACATCCACAGAACTTGCCACTGTTGTCTGGCGGTTGATCGTTCGGTTTCAGCTCAATCACTGCAAAAATTAATGGAAAGAAAAGTAATGAATTAAATTCATAGCTACCAGCTAGCACCAACAGGAGTCCTGTGCTATGACACCACTACGATCTCCATCGGTCATGTGATCTCTAAGTCGAATCTCGATCACTGCACGAACGGTCAAATGGGTAAGGCGAATTTAAGCAAGCAACGTTGTGAGTCCAAACCGGGGAGTGAGATTATTAGACACGCACCCACATTCGATAAACAAAACGTTCAAAAAATTGCGAACAAACGAAATAGCAAGTAACAAAAATTAGGGGTTAGGGGGGAAGAGCAATGAACTCAAAGTTAAGGTCATATAAACTGGTTCCTCTTAAAGGCAAAAAATGAATAACAGCATTAATTGGTTGAGACGTGATATCAACATTCAATTTGCAGACAACCTATAGACCAGTTTAGGAGCAAAAAGTCTAAAAATAAAGTCTAAAGTAGTAAAAAGATACAGTCGTCATGACGAGGAGGGGGCGTCTCCTTTTTCAGCAGTTCCGTGGCTATCCGTCGGAAAAGCTAAAATAGGAAAAAGCTGCAACAACTTACAGGAAAGAAGCAGAAAAGGAGAAAACTTGGGGAATCAATACACAAATGGTGGATACCGATGATTAATAAGGGTTGCTCGGAAAAACGAGGATCAACATAACACTTATTTGGGATGAGTAAACAGAGTTATGTAGCTCGGAGTTAGGAATCAAAAACAAGAGCTGGCTTAATACCGAAATGCAGTATATTAGAACATGGAAACATAACAGTGAAAGCTAGCTTTAAAAAGAGCCATCTCTTCTAATATAAACCGACTAGTTGGGAAAAACAGGCGCATTCGCTGATTCCCCTACTGCCACATAGCTACGCAAATTATCCAGGGTAGTGGCAAATCAAGACAATAAAATAAAGGGGATTGAAAGTGACAGAAACAAAACCCGTTTGGATGACACATGGCTGTACTAATGCAAAGGTTTGAGAAAAGGCTCCTAGTTCTGGTTGAAATATCACAAGGCTTAAAAAGCAAGGAAAAGTTTAAGAAATGAAAAACATATGGAAGAGAGGGTGTAAGTTCAACTAAGTGTTATGATTTAAAGACAGTATGCCAAATCCGATGTACGAAAATTGTACCACTTTTGCGAAATGCACTAAAGATTACTCAACGAATGGTGTACTCAGAGTAACATTGATAAAAAGTATTTGGCAACAAGTGAGGATTTACATTTTTTACATTGTAACCGGCTTTAGCACTGGTCTCGACAAACATGACATTGAGTTCCTTAGCTAATCGTTCACCCTCTTCAGTAGTGACTTTTCTAAAAGCGATAGCAAACCTCATTCATAAACTTACCTCTTATCTGCTAGATCGGTTTTATTCCCGACCAACATTATTATAACGTCGTTCCCTCGTTCGTTGCGAACATCGTCAATCCATTTCGTAGTCTGGGAAAAGGACTCTCTCACTAGACAAATAGCGAAATGAACCGCATAGCAGACCTACTGCAAATATCGTACACAACCACGGCGACCGAAGAATCTCGAATGTAACTGGGAATAAGACTGCGGAATCTTTCCTGACCAGCTGTATCCCATAATTGCAACCGAATCTACGAGGCCCTAAAGTGCAAAAGAAAGCAACATACCGTTCGGTCCTCAAGGTACATTGTCTTTGACAGGAAGTCTATTCCTATTGTGGCCTATTGTTGAGGTAAAATAAACGGAAGTCCATTTACCTGATAAACACTATCGAACGTTTCATACATAAACCGTGTAATGAGTGACGTTTTGCCAACTATGAAAGCATTGAGTGAGACAAAGGTATGCAAACTAACCACTCTGCTCACCGAGGAAAACAAGTTTAAATTTTCGTAATGGATTGTTAAACTCCGTCGCGCCTGCCATTCCGCACCTTCGAAGGAATTGTACACTTCCCTAACTTAGCCGCTCACGGTTCTAACCCATTCAAAAGTAAAAGCAATAACGTTTAGGATTTTAGGTAAAAATGTAATGTTTTAGTTAAAAACTGCATTAATACCAAAGTTTTTTGCCCAAACACACCTAACTTTTTTTTCAAAGAGACTTATGTACAAGCAAACTTTTGAAAAATTTAATTTATAAACCGGCTTCTGTGCGTCCAGTAATTTGCTTTCTCTAAAAGGCATAACTTGTTTTTGTAACCTAATTTTATTGTATCTTTGACTTGTTAAGCCTTTTAATAGCTTATTAGGGAAACTGCTCCCGAATTAGCGACAATAGAAGTGTAATGCGATAGTAGTTTATCCCTCGGCATTGATGAGGCGCCACTTTTGTATTTTGAATTAGTCCCTTTGTATCTCGCTGGGCGAGCTGGCCTTTTGGGCCATGCCAATAGCCCAGACACCTTCTCTGCGCTGAATATATATTCTGCCCGAGTACTTTGTCTTCTTTCGACTTCAGGGAGTCTCGGGACGCTACAGAAGTGCTAGGTCCAAACGTCGATAATTGATTTCTAACTCTATTTATGGCGCGTGGTGTTAGTGCACTTTGTTAGTTTTGAAGTTTTTGTGACGTTTATGCTACAAACTCAAGCGGATTCTTTGACTCTTTCCCTCCTTAAGTCTTCAAACATGAAGCGGGTTTAACATTAAAAACCCTACCAGTGACTGTTCTTTGCAAAGAATAGTTAACAATTAAGGCAAAAAGTGACTATGCCAGGTGCCCAGGCACTGCGTTCGGCCATGGCTATCACTAAATAACCAGATATAACCACAGCATTTCAGGGTCAGTTAACGCTTGAATGCCCTCCGCTACATAGGCTAACAGAAAATCATGCCAAACGATCAAATAGGCGCAAGTGTAGCTTTGGCTGTTTTTTAGGCCTGAAGTTAACATTATAACCTGCACCGATTCTAGTGCTCTTCAATTTTGCTACGTGCCCAACGCTTACTCTGGGCAGTGAAACGGATGATGCAACTACTGGTCACTATCCTCTCGATAGTAAGGCAGGTCAGACATTATCTGATAGCCAGGAAGCCCTTGGTAAGAATCGGTACTGAAGGCTTGTCTTGATTTAAAACAATGCAGTGTAGACCCTGCCTCACAGGCCGTTAATACTTTAAACTACGGTGGTATCATTTTACCCCAAATGGGCAAGAAATATCACCAAATAGCTACCACATATATATGCATATATTTCTAAATCAGACTTTGGAAGCGCAACTAATAACATAGCGAATGCCACCTTTCTACGTTAGATGCCTCATACATCCTCTTGCACACCAACAGCAAAGTTCGGGTGGATGTGTCAGAAGTGGTGGAAACTGACCCTCGGGTCTGAGCATCTGAGGGCATAACAACTCCAGGTGTTATCAAGATAACAGTCTTTCAAGACTTGCATGAACATTTAGGACGTGCAGAAAGAGGACAATTCTCACATGTCTTCAGCAAACACTGCTGATGACAATCAGCCATTCGAGATTTGCGTGAACTCCGCTGAGCCCGATTCATCTATATCAGATTCAAAAGCCTCCATCTCTTAGCGGCCCTGCCACTTTGGGCCGTGGTCCCCAGAGGCGCCAGAAGAGACACTGTGCATTGAGAGCCCTAACCCGTCACCAATCATGCAGAGGACGCACCTGTAAACGCTTGTGATAGTGGATTGCCTCAAAAGTTTTCCAAGGCAGAACCTCTAAATGTCCTGGGAACTGAGGCGGTCACTTTCGTTTTGTGCACCTAACGGGTTTGTTAACACGGGGTTCCCAAATGAACGCACCTTAACCAAGGCGTCATCTTCCTGCTTATCTCTAAGGCTTTTGAAGGAGCGCATGATACTTAGTCATCCGCAGGGCACTGATAAGCCGGCATTAGTCTACTTAAGGCATTCACAAAAAATCAGTCATAGAACTCATATTCAGGCTTGGACTGACCCTTTCCATTGCATAGAGCTATATTTCGCACATACGCCACAATTTTGCCTTTTAAAGTACTCACGGATTGTGAAACAGGAGTACCATCTGGTGCAGTCCCACCAAATGCTGACGCATCGAATTACATCGCTCCGAAATGCACACTGTGACTGCAAGAGGAGATGGGGCAGCAATTCAACTTTGTGAGTGAACACCCAGGATCTACTGCATTCAAGACAAATAGAGCACCTTGATGGGCACAGCCAGTCATTTGTCCATCAAGAAGGGAATCCAACTCGGCTCACTGAGCTGTGCCCGTCTCCACCAATCAAATAGGTGGTTCATTCGTCAACAAATTATGTAGATTTCAATTAAAAGTCAGGTGCACTATCAATCGCTATCCATCATTGGCAAAATGGGTTCTTAATCAGGCACATTACCGGTAAGAAACCCACACAATGTAGTTTTGTGAGGGCTACTACATAAGAAGAACACGGTGCGGACAGGGAATTGCGTAATACGCTTATACTTCACTGCACCTTTCTAGTTTACCAGCTGTTCAGTCCAACAGGCTACACTGCTCCACCAAAGACGTTTCCGTCCTATGGAAGACGTAAACCTCGGTTTGTCGTTACACCCGCACAACACATTGCGAACCCCACTTTGTCAATTTTGTCGACCATAAGTCTCAAAGCCAAAGGTGAAGAGCAAATCTGTCAGATGTTTAAATACAATAAAGTAAAAGTTTTTTTTGATAAAAACTTTTTCAAATTAAGGAGAAAATGACGCATTCTATTGCTGAAGCAGTAAGTTTCTGGTATTCGTCACCGTTTTTTTGAACGTCTCCTGTAAAAATACAACTTCGAGTTGCATTTTCTGCATCTCTTGTTTCCGTGTGTGCCCTCCATGCCGGCTAAATTTGACAAGCACAAAAACAAACATTAAGTTGCACGCTTACAAAACGAAACTGTGCATGAACATACTACTGAAACCTACTCAATTCCTCATTCGTCGGTATATACTTGACACCACTCTTTGGTGGAGGCACGTTTTCGCAATAGTTATTTAGGTAATTTCCCGGTTTCTGATATCGTCCAACAACGTAGATTCCTGTTCCGTCTTTGGTCCTGGCAACACCGAATCCGGCCTTTTGTGTATCCCTCCAAACTACCTGAGTGAAATGTCCTAGACAGCATATGGAATAAAGAAAGCGGTAATAAATTAAGCATTTAAAATGTTTGTTGTTTGTTTACCTCATAAATTAGGTAAATCAAGTGTTATGCAGGTTAACAAATAAAAGGGAAACCCACCGCAGTTGGTTTGGTTTTCTTTTCCAAATTTATAAAAGCTGATTTCGCTGTACCATGCCAATGCAGCCTGACGACCTATAAAATTGGAGGGAAATTTTCCTATTTAATAAGTGGAAGTGACTGTTCTTCGAATTTAATCGGTAAGATTTGGCTAACTTTTGCCTGCCTACAGAGATGTAAGCATTTATACACGCCTTGGATGTGAATACGTGTGCAAGCTCCCACAGGTTCTGTGCGAAATGTACTTTGATCAGGTTAGCATGGG